TCAGCTGCCACAAAGAAACAGCACTAGTAGCTTGAGTCCCACCAAATTAACTGCCTGATACACCACACAAAAAATTGACCCTCCTATGTCAGCTGTGTTGGCTCAGGGACATGGGGAGGGGAGCTGCTGAAAATGTAGATTCCCAGGCCCCACCCACAGATCTGCAGAACCAAAATCTCTCAGTGTAGCGTCTCAACTCTGCATTTGTGACAAGTGGCCTTGATGATTCAGGCGCACCAGAGTTTGAGGCTGCTGCTCTGAGAGCTGGCATAGTCCACATCTCAAGCTCACATTTTGCTGAAATAGGCTGAGCTTGAGGGCGTGGTGTCTGTCTTTGGCTGCCAAGGAAGATGTGTCAGCTGCCTACATCTTTGGTGCTGGCCCCACGGAGCTGAGAGGTCACTCAGAGGCACAGATGGAGATGCTTCACTCCTGAAGACGATTACTGAAAACTGGCATGGAAGGCGGCCACGTGGAGACGGGTCGGGTGTCTGCCAGCAGTCCTCTGCCAGGGCGCACTCTCCACATACCCTAACCCTAGTGCCCCACCCCATGGAAAGCATTTTCAAGTCCCGAATAGATATATGTTCAATATACGTTGGGGTTTTCACAAATCAGCAGAAATATAGCAAGCTGGTTGGCACAGGAAGGTGAAATACCAGTCATTCATGTCTGGCATCTTTGTCTCAACACTTAATTGTTTCTATTGCTGTAACTTCCAATTATAAAAACATTCGTAGGTAAATACTAGGAAACAGCTCTTAATGAACATGACAAACATAGCAAGAATGTTCGTAATGCACTTATGTCTCCACCTTGGTCATCGTGACAAATATGTCTCTTCCCATTACCAAGGAGGAAATGGGCCCAGTCATTTAGCTTTTCATGCCTGTCTCCATGACAAGTGTTGTCAGACAATGTGGCAAACCTGATTTAGAACTCTCAGCCAAGTGATCCCTCTCTCAAAATGAATGCAATGTTTAATACGGAAAAAGTAGGCTTGGTTATTCTAAATTTTCAAAGAATTAATGGGCATTTCACGGAAACCTTTTAAATCTTGAGTATATACAATTTTTTAAAGGAGTAAAACATACGGTGGAGTAAAATTTCTTACCCATTCATTTAGAAAACTACTTGCTAAAAGTATTTTTCAATTTTAAATCTGGTCGTTAAACGAATTAAGCGATCCTAAAGCAGGACTACAGCCGGTCAACACAAATTTAACCAGTTCTAATTTAATGTAACATTAAAATTTTTTTCTAAGAGTTTTCAGAGGTAATAACAGGACAGATAAAGTAGTGCCTATGAGATGGAGAGAGATAGAAACAGAGGTAGAGCTTAATAGATACAGAGAAACATTCTAATTCAACGAGTTTAAGCAACAGAAGACAAATGGGAAGGGCAGTCTCGTTTCGGGACTGTGTTTCCTAGAGGGAACAGAGACAGACCAATTATGACTTTACGGCATAATTTTCAATAAGTAAATTACTGAGGCTTACAGCCTTCATATCCTGAACACCTGTCTCTTCCCTAGTCTGGGTCTGCACATCCACACAGATACCACCATAGCTGGCAAGCCCCTTTAGTTAGCTTCTCGCCTATTCACAAATTAGCAGAAATATTAACCAAGACTTTTTCTTGTATTTTATATGGCTTCCATTAAAATGTAATTAATGCGCATGGATCCAAAATTTACAAAAGCATATATAACAGAATCGTCCTTCAAAACTAACCACTATTAATTAACTCATGTATGTTTATTCTCTCCAAAATGTCTATTTATAGGAGCACGTGTCTCTTTATATAACTTCAGAGACACGCACTATTATGTATGTTTGTATATATTTATATATCTGTGGGTATATATGTGTGTGTGTGTATATATGTATATATATATGAAATATTCTGAATTTTTTGTCTTTTTTTAACTGAAGATGTTTTGGAACTTTTCCATATTGTCACTTACAGATCTACCTCATTTTCCCCCAGCTCTACTGAGATATTATTGACATATAATAAAAGTTTAAGGTATAAAATGTGATGATCTGATATACATATATACTGGAATTCCTACGGTAAAGCGAAATATTCATAGATTGCTACACCTCATTTTTAAGGCTGCATAATATTCCAGTGTATGAATGTGCTGGAATTTAATCAGATATATTGGGTTCCAGACTTCTAATATTACATTGTTGCAAAGGTGCAGATGTATTTGTAGGACTGAAAACTGGAAACGAAATTGCTGTGTCACGTGGTATGAAGCACTTATCTTTTTACAGTATATTGTCAATATATTTTACTGGTAATTCCAACTGAAATATATAATTACAGGGTTTTTACTTGATTTTATTCTTGAACTTTTCTCTTGTGCTATAAATCTGGGCTCTGAATTCCACTGACATATTTGCTTTATCATCTATTTCCTTGCTAAAAATAAAAACATTGAGTGCAGTTTGATTTCTTCCATCAGGGAAGTTCAGACAAAATGTTGGGCTTTAAAGTCACTTGAAGTAACTCTTCTAAGTGTGGTTATACCTCCAACTTGACAGTTGTTTTAAAGAATTGACCTTTTTTAAAAAATAGAAAATACTGACAGGGTCCCAAAGTAAAAAGTATAAAACAATATACAAACCTAGTTGCCATCGCCAGCCAGTTCCCTACCATCGCTCCTGAGGGAACTGATTTATTAGTTATTGGTATAACTAATTCTATTGCATTTTTTAAAAATAGAAGAAAATGCTTTTTTCATTTGTCTCCTCCTTTCTTAGCACACCATACATCCTATTCCTTACCTCCTCTACTGTGGAGATAACTCCAGAATAGTCTATACAAAGAGCTCTCATTTCTTTTCACAGTTGTACAGTATTCCATTGTATGAATGTATGAAATTTTCTTCCATCAACCCATTCTCAATGGAGATTTGGGTGGCTTCCAATCTTTAGCTGTTATAAATAGTGCTGTAATGATATACTATATTTCACATTTTTGCCAATGCATCTCGGGTAGATTCTTAGAAGTGAGACTGCCTGGCTGAAGGATAAACTCATATTTACTTTTGCTAATTATTAACAAATTCCATCCACAGGAATTTGTACTTTTTAGAGTGCCTGTTTCCTCACTGGCTTACCAGTAACAGAGTGTACTGCATAAGCTGGATTTTTTCCAATCTGATGGGTAAGAAATGGTATCTGTTTAAATTTGCATTTCTCTTATGTATATTCTCATGTTTAAGGGCCATCTGCATTTTGTTTTCTATAAACTGTTCATATCTTTTGCCCATTCTTTCAGGTTCTTCTCAAAGTTTAGAAATTCTTCACGTATTAGGCCTATATTTGCCTTTTGCGATAACGTTGTAAATACTTTTGCCATTTCATTATTTAACTTTGCTTTTTTTGGCCATTCGAAACATTTTTTAAAGATATAAACTTTCCTTGTATTACTTCTGGATTTCCAGTCATAGTAGTTTTCAGATTATAATAGAATTCATCTATGTTTTCTTCTAATTATTTAGGTTTCATTTTCACAATTGGGCCTCTGATCCATTCAGAGTTTATCCTTGTGTACCATGTAGTTAACCACATTTGTCTCAACACCATTTTTAAAGTCTTCCTCCATTAATAAAGGCACTTCCTTTATCATAGATTAAATTCCTGGACTTTATATTATTTAGAGTATAATATTTAGTAGGGTTTTCCCACCTTCTCCACTGTTGTTTTCTAGGGTACTTCTGGCTATTACTGTTTATTCTTTCTAATACCTTTATACAGGAAAAAAAAAAAATCTCATTTTACTGGATCTAGTACACCTTTCACATATAAAAATAAAAATATAAATACATAAAATGTAAATATAATATAAATATATATAAAATACATATTTAAAGGGAGACAGTTCCAAAGTGTTTTCAAGATTATATTCTGAAACCAATTCTAGACAAAATTCTTTTTGAAAATTAGAGGAAACAAATGACACTAAGGGATGTGTGGGCGGGGTGAAGCCACGTACAGAGGTGGCAGTGCCACAGAGCAGCCTTCCGTCAGGATGGCTATGAGTGTTGCTGCTCACTCACTGGGTCCACGCTCCTATGATAATTCGCATAAACAGACTGGGCCATGCTGAAAACTCAAAAAAATATACAGCAGCTGTCATGTTGTGACTATCACAGTAAAATTTATTCTGTAAAATAAAGTTAAAGTACACTGTGCATAATTTAAGAAAGATGAAATACTGTAATAGATTAAAAAAAAAACCATTTAGCACCCACTGGATCATCAGGAGTTTGAGGATTATGACTTTCTCTGATAGATCAAGCTTCACGAGATTACATATATGATAGCCCGAGGTAAAATCTAACTTTTAAAAAGAATTATGAAAATATTTTTCAACTGAAGCAAAATCAGTTGGTAGGAAACTAAGTTCCGCTTGACATTTGTCTACATTTTTTTTTTCCTGAATCACTTGACATATCTGTGGCCAGAAACTCCACTTACTAAGTGAACCTAGTAACTTCCCTTCAAGGCTGGGACCAAGTTTCCTGCACAAAAACTCTCCTGTACAAGTGAAAGCTGTCATAAGCCCAGCAAAGAATAATTAAGAAAGACTGGGGAGTCTGTCAAAACAAACAAACAAACAAACACAAAAATATTACCCCTATTATTTGTACCACATATAGGTGTGAATGTGGCCATCCAAGATACTAAAAGTAAAGGCTCGTTTGTTCTTAAGGTAGAGAAGTCTGACACTATGTCTTGGCTCTCTTGTGACCCTCTGCACTAACCTGCTTTAACCTGACCAGTGAGACACATTTCTTGGGAAGCTATCATGCTTCAGTATCATTTGTACAATCTGCTATTTGTCTGTAGGGGAGATGTTGACAATAGGACATTTGGTCTTTTTGGCAGTTAACCAACAGTGATACAACCATACATCTCCCAACAACTAGAAATTTCCTAATTAACTATTTTTAAAGTGCAACAGTCAAAACCATCAAACCATTATTTGCTCTAGGTTCACTGTTTTTATTTACTTAACCAGCTTTCTCCTAGACAAGCAACATTAACGAAACATAAGGCAAAAACACCTTGTTGGTGACAATCCTATTCAATTTTCTTTTTCAGAAGGTCTTCTCAGTAGCCAGTTACCTAAACATGGAGCTTTTTCAGCTTCAATGTTTTCCTCATTTTAAAACAGCAAGAAGATACTACATTTGATGGTAGTTATTGTCAAATAGGTTAATCAACTTTATAGAATTTCTGTAATATAACTTCTAGCATGTAAATTATTTAATCAACGCAAAACTCTTAAAAAAAAAATAAAACAGTGCAAGCCCATTTCTGGTGCTGTGAGACATAATAGCAGCACCTATTTTTATGTGGTAAAAATATAATCCAGTTTTAGCACCCATCTACGAAAGTTAGCTGTTAACGAAAATAAGTGATTTGGCGTACTGGAAGGTAACAATCTTAATATAACCTCAGTGAGAAAATCCGTTCCTTTTGTTGCATCCCGGCTCACAGAAAAGAGTATTAATGGAGTGGGGTGGGGCGGGGGGAGGATAAACTCTTAGTTAAGGCTTTTCAGTACTTGAATTACTTGAGTACTGATGCCATGTTTCTCTGGAAGTAGAGAATTATATCACACGAAGGAGGATTCCAAGGAGTTGTTGCAGAGATGCCAGGATGGATCACATGGCTTTGCAGCCTTAAGTAGAGAACAGAGGAAAATCAGAAAAATTAACGCTAGTGATCGATTCCTATCTTTTTCACCAAAATGCTGTCCCATTATTCCATTTCAAAAACGAAGTGAAGTATGCTAAACAAGTGACAAATTTTTACATAAAAACACACTGAATTTTGATGCACTGTATCAGTTATTAGACATAGTAAATACAAGTAGACAGAGAAAATAAAGTGCACCTTACAGTATATAAAATATTTAGAAATCATTTTTAAAATAGGCAATATAGATTGAAATATAAAAAGTACCTGACATAGCATAGTTAGAAACGAAAAAAATTTCAGTTGAAAAATTACCATTTTTCAATACAGCAGAGGGACAAACCACCTTTTATTAAAGCTGTTAGATTCAGAGACTTGCATATTTCAACTTTGTGCAGGAGAAAGGAAAGGCATTCTTCTAGAAGGTACTAACTGGTTTAGATGTGCAAGCAGCTCCATAAAAGACTCATGTGCAAAGTACAGTCAGAAGACTGCCTGGTTCTCTCGTATTCCTTACTCTTCTTCGCAGACTGAATTACTGCTGAGGGAGCCATCAGGCGGCTGGTTTTCCCACATCGCCTTCACGGTGCTCAGTCCACAGAGTCACAGATGTCCTTTACTTTTTGGTTGAAGTCTTCTGGTTGATCTGCATACACATAATGCCCTGCCCCAAGAATGGCCTGGGAAAGGGAAAGCAGTCAGATGGTCAGTGAGTAAAAAGCATTTAATAAAACACAATGACATAAGCCCAGACACTTGGCAATGAAAGTGAGAACAGCTATATATAACTGAGATATAAAAGAATAAGCAACACTGTTCTGTAGCAATTAGCTATTATATATTTCCATCAAACAAAAAAATCTGAGATTAAAAAAACAATATATTGACTCTTACTAAATTTTAATATGTAAAAAAAAAAAAAAAATTCTAAATTGACCACTAATGATAGGGCCAGCAGACGAACTGAACTGAGAAAGTGCTGCTTTGCTGAGGCGGAAGTTGGTCAAGGTGCGACTGGGTCTGTTTCTCTTTCGGTCTCTTTCACCTCAAAGACCCTATGGCTTTAGGGACAGGAGAAGCCCCTAAGAAAGGCAATTTGCTGTCTGGACACGAAAATGTGTGTGGGTCTAACCCTACTCCCTTAACAAGTCATGTCAGGTTTCTGACTGAGGCTGCAGTTATAGCTCAGATGTGAAAGCACAGGACGACCTGAAATGCCACTGAAGACAAAAAAATATATATAACGGACTTAACCTACAACTGAAGACTCAAAATAAGCCACACACTTACTATTGTCTTCACGTATGAATGTGGTCGTAACGACTGGATGCTGGTGCCAGAATTGCCATCTATGCAGGATCGGGCGCCATAGATCACCGAAACTGGAATGTCAGGGTGCATTTTACCAATTCGCTGGAGCATTGGCCTTTTTGCCCATCCATAAGGAATTGTCATATTCTTGAACGCTGTTTCACCACTTTAAGGAAAGGGAGAAAATCACATACATGGCTTCCGGGGATGAGCATGTATCACACTCCCGCCTCTATCAAAACAGACTCATATTTAGCTTCCCCACTTAAGAAAAACCTCATCTTAAATAGAAAATAATTTACTAGAAAGTATAAGGAACAGACCCCACAGAAGATACATACCTCTGTATATACCCTGCAGAGGACATATGCTTTCATTAGGTAGACAAGGATGCTTAAAACTCTAATTCATCAAAAAAAAAAGTCATATTCTAAATCAAAACATGTTTTTTCACTCTAACTTATTTCAAATGTAGAAGGTAGCTTTTCCACAGGTTCATGGAAAACCTGCCATGGCAAAGCCAATATCAAAATAAGAAGAAATTCAGATTAAGTATTCTTTGTGTAGTGTTTGTAATTTTTATTTTCTACATATTATGAAGTTTGACATCTTAAAAATACCCTTCTGGCTGGAGAGAATCTGTGAGTCCTGGAGCTAGCCAGTTCTCAGAAATGGCAAAGGACTCAATCAAGAACATGCCTCTGATATGCAAACTAACTGACCCAGAGCCTGCCTCTTCTGATGCCCACACACCCCAGGAGGCAATATTCCTCTGCCCCTGGGGTAATCATCCCAGGGCAAGGACCAGGCAACTAGAGACCACCCTGTATCTTCGAGCCCACCGAAATTATTCAACTGGCCAATGCCCAGCTGTTCGCCCTGCCTTTCCTTTCCAAAGACCCCAACAAAGGCTCTCACCTGGACTCTCCCTTTGCTCCTGTCTTCTGCCACCTGACTAAAATTTGGTGCTTCCCTTGTGACCCCTTGGCATTCAGTGACCCTCCCTGCACCCTGGCCCCATTCTCTAGGACCTGTGACTATAATAAACTTTGTTTTCTTGAGCCTCTCCTGTGTCTTCTCCTGTGGCCACACCTGGCTGACCATCACATAAACGAACACAGAACACATTGCGAACTCCCAGGATGGGTCCATTTTTACTGTCATTTCTTCATCTCTCGCAGTGCTAGGCATAATTCTGAATTGCCTTTTATGAAGAATTCAAGTTCACAAGAAAGGCTACATGGGCGAATGTAATTGCTCTGAATGTGAGTGAGTGAAGAATAAAACACTAAGACCATGGAGGAAAATACATGATGTACCTTGATGGACAGACCACTAAAAATTGTTGGAACAAGTCAATAAAGTATGTAGACCTGATCCGCCAGACCCAACTGCCCAGGGGTCACAAAATATCAATCTTCTGAGGACCCCAAATGTGTCCGGCCTCCCTCACTCTTGACGATCTCTAACCTGCTTTATTAAAAAGACTGAGGCTACAGCTACACCTCGGTAGCTTCCATGGCCGCGATCTGTAATAAAATCGATGCACATATTCTCTGCCAGAAGTGAGCGGGGAGAAATGAGGAGGAAGAAGAAAGTGAGGGTGGCTGTCTCTGTATCTAACCTCTCAGCCTTTCACCCACACCTCAGTCTTAGGAAGGGTGAGGTGCCACTTCTATGTTTTAAAGCATAAACCACGGCACACCTATACCAGACTCATCTGAAGCACATGGCAAAGATGTAGCCTAGAACTGCTAAATCAGAGTCTTAGAAACAGGCCTCGGGAACCACTTTTCTGCTGAGCTCCCCCAGTAACTCGGGTACAGAAGGAAGCATGAGAACTGGAGCTCTCATCTTCATACTCCCTTCTTGACCCTCTCCTTAGTGACTCTAGGATCTTGTCTTTCAGGCTCCTCCTAGGTCCCCACGATCTCCAGGCTCTGCGTTCTCCACTGGCTCCTTACACCTAACATCCACGAGTCATACATATTTTTAAAAATACCTTTGTTTGGCCCTCTATACTATATTCTCTCCTTCTAATCACAGTTAAAATACATACCGAATTCTCCTCTCCCTCCACCCACTCCATTTACTCAGCAGCATTTCTCATGCTGATCTATACACGTTTAGAGCTGCTCAGTAAAGGGAGCTGCAATGATCAAATGAACTTAAAAAATGCTGCAAAGCATCTCCCATGCACTTGAGAGATTGAATACTTTTTGGCAAAGGTTCTAAGGGGATCTGTGGCACAGAAAACCAATGACTTCTGTTGAACCCAGCACTCCTTTTTTGTAGAACACACAGACTCAGTTTGGGAACGCTGTTTTATTTGAAATCTTCTTTATCTCTCAACGCTACCTACCTCCTAGAGATGCCCAAGACCAAGACTTCCTCAACTTACCCATAAGCACTTTAGGGCAAGAAAATATGTCTTGCTTTTTAATCTCCCATCAGAATGTCTTACATAGTAGGTACTCCATGAATAGATGAATAAATTAAACAGTATTAGTCATTTAACTACTTGTCCTTTTAAATTTAGTCATTTAACTACTGAGAATCTCCCAGACTATTCACATATTTTCGAAAAAGAAAAGTCTAAAACACAAACACAGCACACTGAGAATGATAACCTTTACCTTGGAGTCTGCACATTACAGTGGTAGATGTATTCTGTCACAGTATCGTCTTCAAACATCGAAGAATACTTTCGTTTGAAATCAGGCCTTAAACGTTGTACTAGACTTAAACCTGTATAACAGAAAATGAATGTTTTAAATCACATGTATGTTTTAAATTATAATTAATGCATAGACTAACACAGAAAGTTTTAGTGTTTGCTTATATGAGTACTATGTGATTACACACACATGTAATCAAATATATATTTTAGGTATAAAAAAGCACATTCCTTGAAGCTGTTCTTCTCAAGTTCCCTAAGGAAAGCTTAAAACAAGAATTAAAGAGTGTTTCATATTGACTTACAGATGTGCTTTAGTTCAAAAACATATGTTAGTTTTCTAAGACTTATTTTTGTAGGAAAATAAATTCTACTAAACATGGCAGGTGAATAAAGCAGCTCGTACATAAAATTAACTTATTATCTTGTATTTCTCCAATAATTACAACATATTAGCATCTAAATGAAGTAAATTGGGATGGATATATTATTTATTTATATGTACACACACACACACACACACACACACACACACAAATTTCTGTGAAAAAAATAAATTCATTTTCTTCCTGGGACATTAGCAATACTCCCTGCTAAGGAAACCCATCGTGGCTCCCATGCTCCCACTGAGTGAGAGGCAGCGCGAGGCCCCCAGAGGAAAGAGGATGAAGAGCAGGAGACTTTGGTCACTGGTTCCCTTTCTGGGGCCCCGGAAACTGGCCAGTTTCCCTGTCTGCTATTACTGCCTATTACTCTAGCAAGGTCTTATTTCTTTAGTGGCCTTCCTTTCTGTTTCTGAAGGAGTTATACAGCTCCATCAAGATTTTCATGATGCAGTTGATATTCTTCATTACTGCCCACCGCCACTGCCACGTGCAAGCAATAGTGGGAGGCACCCTCCCTCCACCATCATGGTCTCCCAATTTCTTTCCATACTTTATTTTTCCCACAATTGCTACCTGTGTATCTGTGATCAAGTAAAATCACTTTGTATCTCAGGGCTCTACAGACTTAAACGAAGCTAAAGGAGGACCAGGCGCTGAAGAGGGAGTGGCTCCACGTGGGCAGGAGAAACGGGCTACGAGAGCACTGAGGGAGTGCAGGGCGGTCACCGATTTAATCCCGGTGCCCTCTTTGATCCCTGCAGCCCCACTGGTCTCTCCATCCCAAAGGATGGCACCAGGGCAAGGAGGGGCGAGGTCCAGGCAGACGGGAGCAGAATCACGGTCACCTACGTGACAGTGATTCCCACACCCTCACTCACCCCCCAACCCTCTGTTCTTTCTAACAGAACCGGATTCTTGTGTATCAATTAGGTGGCAACATGCCAGGAAAGCAGGCCCCTCACTCTAGCCACTGCGAACAGATCACGATTATCAGTCACAGAAATTTAATTTTTCTTTTGCTGATGGAAGAACTAGAGATGGGCAGAGACATAAAGGGAGGTGTCTCTTGGAACCTTCGAAGAAAGACGTTCTTCCCTGACAAAGAGAAGACCATTTTCTGTGCTCCCTGTTCTTCTTGCTCAGAGTGCTGCTTTGTGAGATGATGCTTCCTGCTACAGCAGCCATCAAACTGTGAGAAAAACGGTCAAGGGAATGACAGTTCCCGGCCCAAACCCTAACATCAATGAGCAAGCTACTAAGACAAATGCTAAAACCGCCTGCCTCCAGACTGCTTGTTAAGGAAATAATAAAAGGCCTTATGGTTTAAGTCACTTCGGTGTTCAGTTACTTGCAGCTAACAGCACTCCTAACTGATACAAGTTATGAGAGTGTAAGGCAGAGGTCCAGGCCATCACCATCTGTGACAATGAGGGAAGGAGATTCCCTTGGCTTTGGGACTGAAACAGAGAAGTTCAGAGTTAAATGAACTTAAATCAGAGACCAAACACCGGTACCTTAAAATATAAACAGAAACACAAAACAGGAGTCCCTGAAATCACTGTGGAAAAGGATGACTCTACCCTCTTAACAATGACATTATAGGGCAAGAAAGGAATCTGTGAGCATGATGATGCCTGTTATCCCCACTGTCCATCTGGTCAGGCTTTGTCATTTGCAGCTGGATATCATCAACGGGACAAACGCTCTCTAATGCTTACCGACAGGGCGATGTGGCACTTGTCCCCAGGCCCTGGGCTGACTGACCTCACCCTCAGCATTCCCGCCTTCTCAGCTTGTTAATTATTGTTAATTACAGGTAATGTTTACAATACAGACTCCTCCTGAGGAGAAGAGCCTGGTTTCATTCCTCTTTACCCGCAGACTGGCACTCTTTAGACAGGGAGGAGAAAAAGTTAGGTTCGGTTTTTTTCGTTGCTTGTTTTTAAGATTTTCACTAATAATGGTGAGCAGTCGATACTCCTCTACTGCGAATCTGTAAACATTCTGCTTTCCTAGGATGCAGATACGAGAACTCACCAAAGGGTCCTGCAATCCTGAGGCCGGCTAAAGGGTTGAAGGGAGTCAGTGCTGCCCCCAGGGCTCGGATCCAAACTGGAATTGGTCTGTCTTGATCAGCAAGGTCTGGTCGCTCAGGAAAACCCCAAGGCTCCACTAAAATAAGATGACTAACCCTGTGGGGGAAAGAACAGGTTTAAGTTCATTTGGCAAATTCACCCTAGGACTCTCCAGAATTAACACGATTTATGATGTAAAGATAGAATGAACCACCCTCCAAAACCTTCACGTTAAAGAGAAGACTAATGGCTGAACAGGTCACACCACGCTCTTATCACATGTAAACTTCTGAGATCTGGTAGGATTTCAGAGGTGTATGGTAGAAAAAAGGCTTCGTTTTTCATATATCTAAGGTATATGATAACTGTGTGACCACTCTTGAGAAATGGCATTTGTTGTTGTTGCTGTTGAAACTACACTCTGGCAGATGATACAGATCACTGGCCACACAGGAAAACCCAATAGTTCCATCTGTCTCAAGGTCGACACTGCAGAAATGACTGAAGATTAATATTACACTCATAAAATAGCCTCAGACACCAACAATAGCTACCTTCTGTGAACCAACCATTCTAAAAATTTAGGAGGCGTTAGGACTTTAGATGGGTTCAAAAGGACTTTAAATGGGCTTTTCACAGACATAAGGATAATGTAATGATACAGGCTGAAAACATACCTCCTGGTTTTAGATTCTAGCTTGATGAACGGGAACACATCTACCGTACCCATGACATCAGGTTAAAACTGGCCTTAGATTCTGTTCTTAATCCCTTCCTAATTTTCTTTCTTACTGACCAAAGAGCTAGAAAATCTTCAGCCTAACCTCTAAACATAAATATCAAACTGTTACGCATCGCTAATAGTTTAAATTTTTCCATCTAATGAAACCGCTTCCTGATAAGGGAAAGCCAGAACCATCCGCAGTGCTTCCATGAGGCTGCATCATGGTGTTACATACGATACATCATGAAGACCCGACACAAAGCATGAAGGTTCTCCTGACACAAAATGGTTTTCAACAAGATGATCTCCAAACAGCCAACAAATGCCAGCAAAAATCTCCAAGGATGAACTGACAATGATTCTAAAGTCCCTTTCCTAAGTCATAATTGAAATAAAAAGGTAAAGAAATCAGAACATGGGCATTGATGGCTATTATTCCCAACATAAAATGTTTTATTATTTTTGCCAGCTACAATAAGGTTGAGTTAGTAACGAGCCCTTTGCTTTGACTGCATTTTCTCAAACAGAGAGCTTCAGAGCACAGACCCAGAGCACAGAGCTCTAAAGGCCCTTGGAGAATACTCAGTCCAATCTTTCATCTCACAGAAGAGAAGGAAGCTGAGATGCACCTGCTCCAAGACATAAAGCTAGTTAAAGAAGAACTAGGGCTAAAACCCGCGTCTCCTGACTCCAGTACACAAACAGGTGCCAAGCCATCCGGCAGAAGGCTCTCTCTCCGAAGAACAGGCCAAGCGACGTAAAATAAACATATTAGTAAAAGTAAAGTTTAACTTTAATCAACATTATGCTCTAGATTTCATAGCATCAAGACTTGTAGAATGTAACTATGAATCTGCCTGGGGATGAGTGATGCATGAGATTCCCACAGACTGAGTGTCTTTACTGCTTACAAATTTTATAAGGCTATTTTCTAACAGTGTATGGGAGGGAAACAGAAATTTTTTTGTTTTGTTTTGATGGCTTATGTGCATTTTATTGGTTTTCTCTCAGAATGTTTTGTTTTTGATGGCAAAGACTGTCTCTGATATTTTGACTTCCTCCCACATTCCTCTTATGTAAGCCCACAATGAGAATTGAGGAAGGGGGTGGGGGTGGCATGTCAGAGGTATGAGTAGAATTTATGAAACAGCCACCTAGTTGAAAGCAGCAGTCATGTTAGGAAACAGCTAGCATTATTCACTATTGACTTACCTTCTAAAAAGAAAAATAAACTTCTTAAAACATACTCTATCCTAAAAGATGATTAAAATTTTGTTATAGGATTTTGCCCAGTCTGCTCTAGGCTCTTAGTGATCTGCTAACCCAAGGGGAAGGACAAAGGAAAACTTGAGAGGGCGGGAAAGTCTCACTTAGCTCTGGCTGAGTGATTGTTTTGTCTTGACCTTAGTTTTGGTTTGCCTTTTTTAATATGGATCTTCGAAATATTATCCCTAGATAAAAATGCCAATTTAACAAATTATGCAAAGTATATACACTAGAGTGGGTGACTTTTTTTTTTTTTTTTGGAAAGGGAGTCAATTGCCCTAACAATTGTTCAATTCTTTATCTTCAGCCTAGCATGGCACTTAACACTTGGTAGATGCTCAGTAAACATTTGGAATATTACATTTTTCCATGTTTCCTCTTGGCCCTTGTCTACGAGGATATACAAACTTTACAAAGTATAATCATGGGGTAAGCATGGGAGTTAGCCTGGTCTGGATTTTCAAGTCCCCAATATGACATTAGAACATCACAGTTATTTCTTATAGTAATCTCACAGGTCGTTACTCAGTAGTAGTAGTACAATCCATTTAGACAGCCAGAGTCTAAAACTGTATAATTTGGAATAGGAAAGCATATAACGAGCATGAGTATCATTCCATAAAACTGTTTCTCTCTCTCTCTCTCTCTTGCTCTTTCTCTCTTTCACTTACACACACACACACACACACACACACACACACACACACACACATCCTTACTGAGGTCAAAACATTTTGAAAACAATTTTTAAAAGCTCTGTAACAATGTCTAAACTGGAGTTATATATTATCTGCTTCCACTATAGGTAAAAGATCTCAGAAAATAACTCGGCTTATTTTCAGTTGTAAAGATTTTAAATGAGATAGACCATGCAAAGCACCTCGGGCGCTGGCTACTAAATAATAAATATCAAGTAAATGTTAGCTAGTTGTAGCAGTAAAAATAGGATGACTAGAAAAGAATTTATCCCAGGGAGCATGGGAGACAGTGGCTGGGACCACGTGAGCAGTAAGTAATTTAACTTTTATCACTCAGGAAAGCCTGATCACAGGTTTTAGCTCACAGGTTATTATAATCTTGTACTAGACCAAGTTACCTATCTTCTCATCTCCTTTTCTAGTGAAAAGGTCATTTCATTTGATAGAAGTTATTTGGTTTTAATGAATATCTAAACTATTAGAGTAATCCAGACCCTACCCTCTAATATTCCATACAGGACAGCCTGATGGGATTGTAAATTCACACCTAAGATTAAGAGATGGGTCTAGCCAGACAGCATATGTGAGTCACCTATCAGACATCTTTGTCAAAAATCAGAGGCTCATTCAAACTACAAGAAAAACAAAGAACCAGTAGAGCAGGAACAAGAGAAGAGCCCATCAGTTTCAAAACATACAGAGGCGCTCTTCTCTAGGTTAGCCCGTGGCGTAGGTCTCAAGGTGGGAGACGGTAAGCAGATGACAGCATAAAGGGTAGAGCGGTGGACAGCGCAACGGCTCTGACTCGCTGGGACAGGTGAGTCTAAACGCTAACGAGGCTACATAAACCTGACTTTCACATGTTTTAAGTCCAGCCACCAGCCAGAAATACAAGAAGGAGGACAGACCCAGAACCAAAATGCTCAAGGGAGCTTACAGGACCTATTTATAGAGCAAGGAAAGGGAGGAAACAGGACCAGAAAGAATTCTAGTCAGTGCACGAATGAGGGTTTCTGAAGATGGAGTTGGCCCGAGGCCACTGTGGGGAGGCGGCAGGTCTGACGTCAGATCAAGCAGAACAGCCTTTTTTCTCAACAGGGGCCAACAAGAGATGCTCGGCCCGGCTCTGCAAAGTCAGCGGGCAGAGCTAGGAGAAGTCAAAAGGTCAGATGACCTGGAAACCTTTTAGGAGACAAAACCAGCTGTAACCTACTCTACTGTAACTTGGAAGGAGTCTCTTGGCTAAACACTTTCTAAGGTAATAAAAGTTTCCTAGGGCCCTTTTCCTTAGTCTAGAACAAACACCTATAAAACACAGTCTTTGTACAGGGACTGAGCAGCTAGCTGGATCCTGAAGGAATGCAAGATTAAAAGAGAAAAATAGCACATGGATAAAAGAAAGGGGAAGGCGTCTCTGTCTGCTACTGCTGGCTTACCCTGCTCTCCCTCCATGCCCGCCATAAGGTGGTCAGACACAGCTTGATGAAGAAGGCTTTACAACACCCCGCACAGTGAGTGGTCCTGTCCGTGACCCAGCACACTAATCTACAAGTGAGATTACGGATGGCACCTCTAGTTATCACAGGTCGTGTTAAGAGGACTGAATGAACTAAGGTCATTTGGGGGAAGGGACGTTGATAGGGGTTGTGCCCCTATCTGGAGTAATCTATTAGCCAGTTCGTGACTTCTCTGCCCACCAGTCACATGGCTTTCCAGAATGGCCCAGGTGTCCACCTAGCAAAAGGCCTTTGCAATTTCTGTCCCCACGGCCTGGAATGCTCTCCCGCCACTCCCTTTTGAGACATCAACCTCAGCTCAAATTGCACTTCTTTAGGGAACCATATTGGACTCCAGACTGGGTCAGGTGCTCATCAAGAGTTCTCACAGAACTCCCACCTCCCCTTCACAGCCCACATCACAGCTGTCACGCTACTCACATGGTTATTTGTGTCTCCTTCCCCAAGACACTGTAAGCCTTACAAGTACATAAAGTCATTCAACATTATTCAAACACAACCAATCTGCTAGATTATAACGTTAGAGTATTTTATTCATTACCAATATTTCAAAGAAGGAATCAACCAGGTACTTTTACAAAAAGCATTACAATTGCTGAATACTCAGTTTTTCATCAGTCTCAAGAATCTGGAGGGAGATATGGGGTCACTGCCACAAGTTAGGCTATGAAACAACTTTTATAGACAGAGCCACTCATCTGCTCATAGAGATGAAGCGCCCAGGCTGACCTAATGGACCAAAACTAGAAAAAAAAAAACTGGTCAGTTTTTATTTGTTCTCTATCAGAAGACTCCTTCCTAAACAAGTCCATGAACCTAGGCACTTTTACTCTTCTCCTCCAACTGTCCTAAAAAACAGACAAAGAACAGAAGGATGGGGAGGCCCATAAAGGACACAGACAGAAACAGGTATCAACTGGGACACTAAGTCTCAACAAGTAAAATGTTATCTTTGTGGTTTTTTTCCCTCTATGCATAGAAACAACAGAAATTAAAGAGTTATGTTTTACTTAAGAAAACATTATATTTGTTATACCTGAGGAGGCAAAGAAAAAAGTAACATTCTCAAAGTCCATTAGGAGAAAAAGAGAGAGAGAAAGAGAAAGAAAAGACGCACAGTGAGCGAAGGAAATTAACAGAGTCTCATTTGGTCTCCATTTTACCCCTTTCCCCACCCTCTCACCTGGCTCCCCTAGCCCCACAAAATCTTTCTGAAATGCAAAGATTTATGTTAATCTCATGACAGAATAAAAACAGTACTTGTGGGGCAGATTATGCATGGGAGGGGCAGGGATCTGTACCTTCTTCTTAATTTTATTGTAAACTCAAAACTACCCGCCTCCCCAAATACAAATCTTAAAAAAAAAAAAAAAAAAAAGAGGTCCTTGGATCAAGTGAAAGTTGGATAAATGGCATTTAGAATAGGTCATTCTATACTTGTTTAGTTAACACTGGTAAAAGATAAACTGAAACATATTAAAAATTTTAAGAGTTTGAGCAAAAATCTATTCGAATCGGGCAGCGCCAAACCAGAAGTGGTTAGGAGTATCGCACCGACAGAAGCCAGGGAAAGGTCTGGCGGTTTGTGGTTTGTTGTCCTTGGGCTTCGATTTCGTAATCTTGAGGCGTTTACAGGCTTAGACTTGTTTGTTTACGTGGGCCTCAGCGTCAGAGCCACATCAGTCTAGCAGCCTCCTTGTTTCATTCATTCATCACTGGACACCCACTGGGTGCCATGCAGTGTTCTGACTGAACTTCCTTCAGGATTTCAGAGATCTGAAAATACAGAGAACCTCTGTTTCAAAGTTAACTTGTGTTTAATAATTTAAGTTATGCAGCTACGAATATAGGCTTGAATATTCAAAATATTCCACAGAGTTGGGCAGCAGTCAGCCAGTTTAAACATGCGAATTGTTTCAAGCACTCTCATAGTCAGCCATTGCTAATACTTAGTGGTTCTTGGTCCTGACACAGTACTTTATTTCTATCCTTAGAAACGAACGTTCAAAGATCATTTTCTATAAATGATGTGAGTCCAAGGCCAGGATCACTGGCTTTGTTTTAGATACTAGTTCTCTCCCCCATGTCATTCAAAATATGTTGTTATTCTCTCTTATAGATGATTTGTAAAGTGGTCATTACCTTCTGTATTAACAACCCCCCTATTTCTTTTCATAGCTGCAAATGAAAATCTCACCAACTGACCTAAATAACAGATAGCCATGAAGGGTCAGGATCCTAAGATTCAGGGGTTTCATGACCAGAGTCTGGCCCACAGAGTCCCGTGTCATATCTCCTAGGGACAAATACCACAGGACGAATGTAATAAACACCTGGTAAGAAACAAAGAAAGCCTGACCTCTATTACATCTGTCCTGTGGTATCCAGAAAAGTATCCACTTCCTTCTCTTACTTTTGCCACAAATACAGGTAGGTGTTTGTCACTGAGAGTAGGACACAATTGAAGACAGTATCCCTAAAAGGCCAACCAGAAGAGAATTTGGGTTTCTTTTGAAAGAACAGGTCTGCCAGCTGACAAGATTATTATCCTCTAGCACACATAGGACTGCAAACTCTCCAGAAAAATCAAGTGTAAATGCTTAAGTTTAGACAAAGAATCTGTAGAGAAAACGCTGGCTGTTCCAGAGAAGAAAAGCTCAGGTACACAGGGCTGCTAATCCATATATCAAATTCTGCACGGACGGCACACCTGGAGTTAGGCAGTGGGCAGCCTCACAGGCGCATACACGCACTCTGAAAATGCCATCATTCCCTGTCTCAGCAGCAGGCCTCAATGTCACAGCTGGTTGCAATTTTGGATTTAAAACAGTCCAATGGAAAAATACACTGGCAACACAAATGTGTTAATCTTTTTGTATCTTTCCAAAAGATGAAAAAAACAGGAATGAGATTTTCTTCTATTTTCTTAGCACTTTAATGTGACCTCCCCTCAGAATAGCAACATAAATAATAGGAAACGGCACAAGGAAAAGTACAGAAAGGAGATGCTATGGAGATTCTTAAACAGACAACAATTCAAGGACTCGGGAAAATAATTCTAGGAGAATAAAAGTTAGGGCACGGTATTATTAAAAACCCTGCAAGATACCCTATGCAGGTATATTTTCTGAAGTTTAGATAAGTGGAAACTAAAGCTTAGAGGTTAAGTGATCTGCTAAGCCAAAAGACAGCGCTAGCCCTAGGTCTTTTAATTTCTAACCTTCCAGTCTCCTATTACAGCTTACTATAACCTGGAAAAGGTTAGCAAAAAACTTTCTGGATCCATAGGTCTAATGACAATAATAATAAGCATTACTAAAATGACAATTTTTACTTGTAGCTTAAATTGTATGCATCTTGATGAAATAGAAAAGTCCTTTCTCAAGCTTTCTATCAATGTGTAATAGGAAAATCTGACATCATTACTTCAGCTACTAAATTGGCCATCGGCTGTGACTATCTGGTCTATAGGGTCCTTTAGGAGAACGTCTTAGAAAGCTCAGGTACCACAACCACCAAGGACGGGAACGCGAGAGCAGCACGTGGGTGCCTCTCTTCTGCCACCATCACTTACCTTGAAGGGTACTTTAGTGAGTAAGCAGTGGCTAAGAACCCACCAAGGTTGTGTCCAAGCAAGATCACTTTGTTCAATCCCAGGGCACATCTCCACTCTTCGATCGATTCCACAAACTGATTCTCTACTTCTTCCGCATCGTTGTCAAACCTGGGTCTGCTACTTCGTCCGAAGCCCAACAGGTCAAAAGCATAGACGGGTCTATTGGTGCAAAGATCTCCAAAATTTAGTGCCCAGAGTCCAAGACCTCCTCCAAAACCGTGGAGGAGGACAAGCGGAGTCTTATTTGAAATACCGTGAGAACACTTCAGTGTCCATATTTTATTTCCATTAGATATACGAACAGGTTCTTTTTTGTATGTGCAGGGGACACCTAATAAAAACATAAAACAGAAATTTGGCTTAGCTTCACTACTTCTGAGAAGGGGAGTTTCTTAGAGCAATCAGAAACTAATAATCTGGAAATCATCTGGTGCTCATTTAGATGATTTTAGCCTTTATTATGTCATCCCTAAAAATATACATATACATTTCACTGAAGCACGTAATTCTTAACCATATTTTACATTTAAGTGGGAAGATCCATTTCAGACAAGTCTGAAGTACCTGTGGCCAAGGTCTTTGGCAAGTCATGTTAGCTCTTTGGACATCTATGAAATGAAGGTTTTACACTGTGGAACTGGAGAGGAACTCAGTGTTCATTGGATCCACTAGTTTTGACAACAATAACAAAAGAATGCCACCTTGAATCTGTCTAACATGTGGATTAAGCATTGAAGATTGAAGTTCAGACTCAAAGAAACATTTTTCCCTAAAAAGTAAATCATTAGAGAGTCTAGCCAGGGGTTTGTCAACTTTATTAATCTTCTCAAAGAATGAGCTTTTAGTTGCATTTATTTTTTTCTATTCTTTTCTCTATTTCATTTAATTCTGCTCTAGTTCTAATTATGTCCTTCATTTGTTCTTCTTTTTCTAGTTTTTTAAGATGTAGTGTTAAGTTGTTTATTTGGGCTCTTTCTTATTTTTTGAGACAGGCCTATAATAATATGAACTTTCCTCTTATTACCGCTTTTGCTGTGTCTCCCAGATTTTGATATGTTTCTATGTATCTCTTGATCTCTTTTTATTAAAGATGTGGTATACACATATACAATGGAATATTACTTAGCTATAAGAAAAGATGAAATATTGGCATTCGCGACAACATGAGTAGATCTTGAGATAATCATGCTAAGTGAAATAAGACGGAAAAAGTTGAATACCACATGGTATCACTCATATGTGGGATATAAATCTAAAAGCAACAAACAAACAAGACAAACAAACAGACTCATGAACATGGACAGTGGATTGGTGGTTTCCAGAGGGTAGGGGGGGATGGGTAGATAGGGGTAAAAAGGGGTCAAATATTTGGTGGCAGAAGGATCTCTAATTATGGGTGGTGAACACATAATGCAATATATATATGACATACTGTTGAATGATACACTTGAGACTTTTTGGATTGTGATGATCTATGTCACCCTTAAAATTTTTAATTAAAAAAAGTAAATCATGAATTTAGGGAAAAATTAACAGTATCTGTATTAAACATGTAACTGAAATTTTAAGTCACTTCAGAGTTAAGTAGCAAAATGGTGACAGGGTATGGTAGGAACTCAGCAGGAGGCACCAAGTAGTGAGTTCAAGTCTAACAATCTCTAGAAAATGCAAATAATCACAATTTTGTAAAAACTCTTAATTGGCCTTCAATGCTGTGGGACTAAATACTTTAAGTCTCCCCCAAAATAGCCTAAGATGAAACTAATTTGAAATTCACTTACATTAAATTATCAACTGAATAGCTATACTTTAAAGGTACCTTTTACTTATTTGTGTGTATTCATCTACAGTGGACAAACACTGAAGATCCAGGAGTTTCTGCCCTTTAATGAAAGACATAATCTCAGGTTTTGCATGCACAGAGTGGTAGCAGAGAAAACGCAGCATTCATTGGGGTATTAACTGAGCCTGTGCCCCCGAGTTCGGGGAAATGCCACCAGTTTTGAAGAGACGATCCTGCACTGATGCCAAACCGAACCACATCAGCATTTGGGACACCGATGTCTGCCCGTTCCCACGGAGCCCATCTGTGGCCTCCATTTGAGAGCTCACTCCACTTGCTTTCACATCTGAGACTGGACCAGGGGCCAATTCTCACTCTTATTTGCATCCTTAGAACCTAGCAGTAGGGACTCAGTATGTTTTTCAAATGTATGAATTGAGGATCTAGCACCCTTTTTCATCTCCTGTCAAGAATTTTGTGTGTTTCCAAAAACTTGATGAGAAAAAAATATAATACCAAACTCAAGAACACTGTTTAGTGTGTCACTGGGTCAAGGGTTGGGGATACATGTGACAGAACTAGCAAAGAGGACACACATAAACAAAGGTACGCACAGTCACAGAATGAAAAGCTGCTGCATGGCATGATTAAGTCCCGCTTTCCTCATCAGTCAGCACCCTGCTGGGGATCCCCCCGCTGCTGGGTGTCAGGCACCCAGACTCTGGGCGAGGAAGGCGGAGGGGTGACCTCCAACACATCCACCTGTGGCAGCATGTGGAGCATCTTCCTCAGAAGGTTCTTGTCACGCTCACGTCCCTGAGTCGGCCCTTTTGGCGCCCCGACCGGAGTGAGGTATCAGCCACCTTGAAGGGCCACCCACTCCACCATGGGAACAATACGTATCATGAGCATGAAGTTAACATTGAACTCCACAGGGTGATGCGGATCTAGGTGGCCTAGAGGCACGGGGCAAGTCACAGCCCATGTCCCACACATTCAAATTTGGCTGCTTATAAGAAATTTATTTTAGTAAACCACAGTGACAACTTTCTCAGCTTTGTAGAGAACAAGATTACTCAAGTATACAGAGTGAGTAGAAATTTACTTTTAATGCTAAAAAAATCCATGTAAGTTTACTAATGATCTCTTCCTATTGATATATCCAGGTAAGGTCACTTATCCCTGAGTCATTCAAATGCAAAAACAAGAAAATTCATTTGCGGTAGAGAGGATGAAAAACAGTCATGGACAAACATCTGCACATACATACGTGATAATCATGCATGTGAAGCGCACTGCTTAATCCACTCCTCTAATGTGCATCAGCAGAACAAAACTGCACAATAAACACTATTAAAAGTATAGTATATCCACAGAATCCTGGGAACACCCTAACAACACGAGTTTGGGTGAATTTCAGTGCCCATAACAAACAAAAAAAGGTTTCTGTACCACTATAAATGGAGAATTAAAGAATCCCAGAATACCAGAACCAGAGAGAATTCTAAAGATCGTTCGTTTTATAGGTAAATATAGGAAGCTAAGAAAAGTATCTTGCCCAAGATCCTGTAACAACCTGATTGCAGATCTGGGCCTAGACCAGGTTACCTTGTTCTGGTCCAGAATTTGTTTCACTCTACAAGGCTACCTGCTCTGGAACACCTCCAGCCTGTTCTCAGAGTACAGTCTGGGGACCTCTGGGGAATCCCTGAAACCTTTCTTAAGAGATCTACAAGGTCAAAACTGTTTTCATAATAATACTAAGTCTTTATTTGCCTTCTCACCCTCATTCTTTGATGGGTATACAATGGAGTTTTCCAGAATATGTGATTAACAACAACGAAAGACAGAAGGAAACATGAGAACGCAGCTGCCTCACGTTAAGGCGGACATTAAAGAGATCTGCAAACATGTACACAGCGCTACTCCACTCGCCACATTTCTGTTTGGAAACTAGTTAGTTTTAGAAAACATGTTCTTTATTTTAACCTGTAATAGGTTTATTACTATTATTTAAACATAAATTTAACATATTTGAAATTATTCGGTTTAAATTTCTAATATGGTAAATTTTGATAACTATAACCTATAAACAAAGCTCCTAAGGGTCCTACTAATTTAAGAGTATAACAGGGACCCAAGACCAGATGTTTGAGGCCCTCTCCACATTGATACACTTGATGACATGGAAAAGAAAAAGAAGTTCTTTTGTTAACAAGTAACACACCACAGAATTACCTTCGGTTTCAGGACAATGCGAATATTGGACCTGTTTTAGCAAAGAGCTCAGTTAACTTACAAGACAAAAACCTTACATTTTAAAATTTTCTCTTCAGCTTCTTTAAGGTGTGATGTAGACGAAGGGCACCATGTGGGAAGCCAACCAGTTAGCCATCCTGACCTAGAACATCAAAACAAAATAAAAATAGGTGAGAAAATGTTCTTCTCAACTCCCAACTGTTACATGAAGAGAAGGAACGGAGAATAGGAAACATACGCCTGCGTTACAGTGAAGCTATATGTGACAAAATTCACCTAACGGGCACAAAGCATTGTGGTAAAGTACTGGGATTAAGGTACTCAACTTCAGCCTGTGAACTTGCAAGTGGATATCAAAGTGCATCTTATCTTAGTGGATAGGCAGATTCTAAATAATCAAGCAGAGATTAAAAATGGGCAGAACAAGAAAAGGCAACAAAGGCGGTCCCCCCTCCGCCCCCCCCAATTGAGAGACAGCCTCTTATCAAGGGAGAAGTGCAAAAAAAGTTAAAGACCATGAGTATTCATTACAATGGGAGGTTCATAGCAGGTATAAAATGTACCTGCTATGAGGGCTGAGAGAAATCTTATTAAAATGTGAGATTATTTTTATAAAAAGGCTTCAAAATCTCATAGTTATGGTTAGAACACACCCCTAATACAAATGCAGGGGACTGGCCCATGTACAATCTGCCTAGGGTGAACTGGTTAACTGTTAATGGAAAATCTTTGAGTTCCGGCAAACAGTAGATGAAAAGAATGACCCAGGCATTTGGCAGAAGACAGCTGAACAAAGAGAAAAAGGAAATAAGCCTGAGACTGCAAGTGAGGAAACGTGTGGGGAGGCTGGAACTGACATGCTTTGCTAATAGCTATTATATTAGCTTTGCTAATAGCTAACCAGAAAGAAGAGCATGAGCCTTGAACTCCTGGCCTGGCATCAGTGGACCACAGGCTTACTTTAACAGTCTGAGGTAAGGGAGCGCTTCAGCAGCCACATGACAGCAAGGGTTCAGTACCTGACCAGTATGATTTAAAGTGAGAACTTTCTGATGAATGAATTAGAGGAGGAAGAGAGACCAACTACTGCAGATTCCAGCAGAGAGGTATGGGCCTGAATCAAGGTTTTGGCAATAGAAATGAAGATAAGAAGATGAGGCCAAAGGGATATTTAAAATAAAGCAGGCTAAAGTGTACAAACTTAAAACTAGATGATAAATAAGCTCTGGAGAGCTAATGCACAGCACAGTGATTACCGTCAATAATTCTGTATTTTTATACTTCAAATTGCCATGAGACTAGATCTTAAATATTCTCTTTCATAAAAAAAGAAACTATAATTATGTGACATGATAGAGGTGTTAGCTAAAGCTATGGGTGGTAATCACATCGCAATATATAAATGTAGCAAATCAATATACTGTACACCTTAAACTTACACAATGTTACAGTCAATTACATCTCAATTAAAAAAAGAAAAAATCAAATAGAGGAAACAGGTGACTCAACAACTACAATATATGACAGAATTACTCCACTCCACAAGTATTTACTGAGCACTTACTATCCGTGAGGAACTACACTAATCACTGCGGACATATAAGCCACCAAACAGAAGTATGAGTGATTATTTCTTGTTGAGGGGATCAGGGAGTTGCTTTTGAGCTTGATCTTCATAGACAAATAGGATTATTTCAAAGGTGAAGTAGTGGTTCAAGCACCTCCAGTGAAGGAAAGGGCATGAGTCCATGTCATAGGAAGTGCATAATGTGTGTACTGAGATAACAAGCTTATTGTTTCAATAGCTGCTATAACAAATTACCACAAACCTGGTGGTGTAAAACAAAGGAAATTTATTCTATTGCAGTTCTGGAGACCAGAAGTCTGAAATCAGTATCACTAAACTGAAATTAAGGTGTCAGCCAGGGTCATGCTCCCAACAGAGGCTCTAGGGGAAGATCCATTCCTTGCCTCCTCTGGGCTCTGGTGGCTGCTGGCACTCCTTACCCTGTGGCAGGGTCACTCCAGTTGTCCGTGTCCATTACCACATTGCCTTCTCTCTTCTGTGTGCCTTCCCCTCTTCAGCCTGTCTGTAATCTCCCTCTGTCTTTCACTTGTAAGAACGCTACTGTTGCAATCAGGACCCACCCAGGTAATACAGGATCATCTCACAATTTTTAACTCAATCAGTTAAGTTAAAGTCTGCAAATTCTTTGCCATATAAAGTTAACATTCACAGGTTCCAGGGATAAGAACATGGACATATCTTTGGAGACCATTATCTCTGGGACCACTACCACAAATATAAAGCATGATGTGTGTTCCAAGATAAAAATATGTAGAAACATTCAATAAATGGTAGTTGACATTATACTGATAATAATTTACTAAAATGATGTGGCATTAATTAGGAAGTAATTCCTAAAGTGAGAGTTTTAACTAAGGTTCAGAAGTTCAAAATTAGGAAATGACAATTGTCATTTTGTATCACTCCTTGTCTCAAAGATAAGGCTACTTCCAGTTGACCTACAGTGGGAAACTCAGCCTTTCTCCAGCCTTTTACTTGATACTCTGGTATCATTTTTATCACTTCTTAATTCTCTGTTCTCTAACCATAAATATTCCCTGCTCTCTTGCTTCTTGGCTCTGAATAACCTTTAAGTATGTATCTCCCCTTCCTTTCATGATTCATTACACCTCTTACCAATCTCAGATTAGATTTCATTTCCCCTTTCATTTACCCAAAAAAGGATTAAATCGTGGTGGAAAAATGGTATCTTATACTTAAGCTTTATATTCTTCTCAAGTTGTGTTATATTATGAAGTTCTTATTTATTCATCAGTATCCTTACTCAACTGTAAGATCCTGAGGGAAAGGACTTTGTGCCCACCAATGCATTCTCAGTTTCTATGCCAATACCTAACATGTTAATATACATTGATGATAGGAGTGAAAAAAGTTACTGCTTCATCTGAAATGCACCTGTTGCAGTGAATTATAAGTGGCTCACTTGAGTAATAAGAGAATTTTCTGGGGGTGATCATGAAGTTCTCTATCTTAAGAGGTGAGTGGATGACACAGATGTATGCATATGTCAAATTTCAACACATGAACGCTTAAAATTTAAGGATTTCATAATGAAATTTTATACCAAAAAAAAAGTAAAACAGGCTGGATTTGATAACTGGTTAAGAAGGTATAATAGAGGATTCCTAGGCTTCTCTGTTAGGTGCCACTAAAAAAGACAGAGAACACATGACAGAATAGTTGTGAGTAGAAAAATGTGCTAAGTTTTGGATGAGTTGATCCAGCACTGAGTTTTTTCTAAGCTTTGTAGGCTCATCCTACTATATCTCCCTCCCCTGTAGAATTTCTCTGGGCATTATGTATAACAGGCACTCAGAAATGTTTGCTGAGTGATTAAGTCACTCATAATCCAGGGTATACTTAGTCCAAGTTATCCCTACTTCATAGACATGAAAACTGAGGTCCAGAAATGTTAAGCACCAAGTCCATGAGTATACAGCTAGTAAGTGACACAAGTAGAGATTTCAGTTGAAAGCCCTTTTTTCCTCAGGTGACTACCTTCCTTAAAATATATGAGGAGCTGTCATTACCTACAGGATAAAATCACATTCCTTAGACTTGCACAGAACAGAAGATACATAACAGCCTGCATTATAATGAGGCTCTCTTCCTGTGTTCTCTGCTGCCAATTTCAAACCTTCTGCATTAACAGGATAAGACTGCTAGCCATCCCCTACAAATATTACATATAAATTACCAAAATTTTATAAACATAATATAAAACATTATTAATATTATCCTACTTATAAATATGTAAGACCATTTAGAAATTATCAAGGAAAATCAATTAAAGGCTTCACCAATGAATTTGTCAATTCATTCAATAATTTTTCAATTGTTGGGAAAACGTTGTTAACAAGCAATGAAAAGAATCTCATGATCTTTAGAGCTTAAAAATTTTAAAGTAAACCATTATTGAGCTGAAGCTCTTTGGTCCCTGACCAGGAATAGTCATCAGTCTATGTTTGGTCACAAAAATATGAGCTGGTACCAAGAAGTTAGTTACAACTCAACCTCATCAATTTTCTTAAATATGCCTCAAATTATACCACAGTTCTCTGCCAGAGAAGATCAGAGGTCAATACAAAAAAAGAAAAGAAAAAAAAAGAAAATTAAAGTGAAATGAACTATACTACTGCTCCAACTGACATCACAGACATGTTGAGGGGGAAAAACTCACAATTTTTGCTATCTTTTTCTTTAAAAACAGTTACATTCTCTGAAAACCTACAATACACAAGGTACCAGAGTTTAAAATGTTATATGCCAGTCTGTAATACAGAAATTTATGTCTACCTCTCATCACAAAACCAACTTTCAAAGGATAAGATATCTTTTCCATGCATTTTGCCTCCTAGTGATGGGCTTAACTCTTAGAGAAGAGGCAAAACACTTTTTTTTTTTTTTATGTTTGCAAGTTTAGTGCATTATATTAAAAATTAGGGCTCTTCAACCACAAGAGTCACTAACACCCCTCAGGTTTTCAGGACAATCTTTTCATCAAAGCATCAATTTTTTTAAAGTAAAATTTTTCTAAAGTATATTTAAACACAAAAATCTATATGTAACAAAATATAGTAAAATATTTTATTTTTATTCTTAGGAACAGTAAAGATACCTCTCTATTCCTGAGTCCTGATGTTTCTGTCCACTTTTGCCTTTACCAGATGATAGCATGTTTTCTAGAAACTATCTTGTACTTCTTTTGTAGAGATAACCTACAGGATTGAGCACTATGCACATAATAGGCTCAAAGAAACATTTCTAAAGAGGAAAAAGCAGGTATCTATCTTTTCCATCCTTTAGCTGATCACTCTTTGCTCACGAGTTCCCATATCTTAGCTTGCCATCTCTGCTGCTTCAACTCTCTAAAACACCCATCCAACTTCACCTCTTGTCTTTGGGGTAAATTGACCTCATCTTCAGAGACCCTCTGCCCTTTAGACGCAGGGTGTGTAAGACTAGAACTAAGGACATGAAATAGGAACTAAGGGCACAAGACAGGAACTAAGGACACAGACAGCAGCTTGTCAGATATCCAGCCATTCTTCTGA